GGCCCGATGCTTCCATTAACCTCGGCATTAGGTCGTTTTGCTTCTACGCTTGTCCGTGACTCGATGGCTGAATAGGTCGAGGGAGAATTCCTGTGGAAAACACGAATTTAGTCTTTATTTCGACACGAATTTAGACTTTAATTTATTACGAATTTAGTTTTATTTACAACACAAATTTAATCCATCTAACGCGTAGAGAACGAACGCTAACCAGTCCTGTCCGTCTGGTCCTCGACTCCGGTGAGGCTGCTGGGGTACGATCGAGGAGAAGTCTGGTGGTCGACACCTGTAGGTACAGGTGTAGGTTAGGTGTGGTACAGGTGTAGGTTAGGTGAAGGACTAAGAAGGCTGGACCATCTACATACTATTCAGCCTAACCTAACCTAACCAAACCTAAATTAACATCGATTCTAACCTAATCTAATCCAACCTAGCAAAACTAAATTAATATGATTCTAACTCTATCTAAACCTACCCTATCCAAACCTAAAATAATCGATTGTAACCTAACCATTTAATTGGGACACCACTAGACAGAATCAAAGTCAATCAGTTCACAAGACTAAGTGCTTCATCAGAGACACTGCAAGACTAAGTGCTTCATCAGAGACACTCACAAGACTAAGTACATCATCATTAGACACTACAAGACATCATCAGAGACACTCACCCATCCTTGACAAGTGCCACATAGCCTGAAGCATAGGGGGATACAGGGTCACTTGAGACTGTTATCCATCAGCTTAACATACTTCCATCCTGGGACAAGAACACAATGGTTAGGTTAGGTTCAGCTAGTTAGGCCGGTTAGATTAGGTTAGAGTAAAAGAAATAAAAATAATAAGACTATATTAATGCACATCAAGAAAAAATGCGGAAAGCCTGCGTTATAAAGTGAGACAGATTGTATGAGTATGGAAACACAGAAGGCAGAGCATTCAACAGTGTGAGTACAGAAGGATGTACTATAATGGGTTATTATAGTGGTGCACCCGGTAAAGTACCTGTAAAAGAGAGAGAGTGAAGCAACATTGTGGTGAAGAGAAGAGAGATTATCAACTAAAGGAGGAGAGTTAATAAGGTTAGCAATTTGATTAGTTTTAGTTAGGTTAGGTTAGATTAGGTGAGGTTCAGCTAGGTTGAATCTGTAACAACACAACGCACTTTCGAATGGGTGTTAATCCTGCCGTAGCTGCAGTTTAGAGCCAATGGGGACAGCCTGGTCGACGGGGGTGTGACTGTGTGGGAGGCAGAGCGGGCAGCTACCTCCCTAAACAGCGCCACTTCATACTCCAGTCTACCAGGTGTCTCCTCCACCACCCTGACACTCTGCCAGTTGGCCGGTCTAAAGGAGGAATGATCATGACTGGTTTATAGTTCTTAAAACAGTTAAAATATTTACAAAAGTTTTAAATATTTACAGAAAGTTTTCAATTGTGGTTAAAGTTCTAAAAATGGCTTTTATAAACTAAGTACAGTGGGTATATGCTATAACGAACGGATCCTACTACTTAATATTCCTATAACTAACGGTTTTACCTATAAAATTGAGAATGCTATAACGAACGAAACTCCTACAATCTAAATATTATTTAATTTTTTTCTAATTTATTGTTTTTTATTACAAATATTAATGATATTCTTTATTTCAGGGATTTAGATGCATATTTATGCACTTTTACAATTTTATATTATATTTTCAGTGTTAAGTGGTTGTATTTGGGGGCCTGGAGCGGATTAATCCTATAACTTAATCCATCGCTATAACGTAAGGTTCTAGAACCAATTAGATTCAGTTATAGCATACCCCACCTAATTATGTTCACTTATTTACAAAACACTATATAAATCTGTAATCTGGAGTTAAATATGTACAAAACACTATATATCTTTACAAAAACACTATATAAATCTGTAATCTGAGTTAAATATGTACAAAAACACTATATCTACAAAAACACTATATAAATCGTAATCTATTAAATATGGACAAAACACTATATATCTTTACAAAAACACTATATAAATCTGTAATCTGAGTTAAATATGTACAAAACACTATATATCTGTACAAAAACACTATATAAATCTGTAATCCGAGTTAATCTGAACTATTCCAAACCAAGAGACACCAAACCCCAACTTACAGCGAGCCAGCAAAGCCAGCGGCCCTGTTTTCAATGACCGTGGGGAGACAGGCTTACACATTATGATGACTTCTTGATCTGTGGCCAACACTACTCCTTCCAGCTGAGGGAACCAAACACACAACGTAACATACCCCTGTAGAGATGAGGTTAGATTAGGTTGGGTTAGGTTAGTATCTGACCTAACCTGATTTGAGTGTAAGTAATCTAATCTAACCACACACATTATGTCATGTACCCCGTCTAGATTAGGATAGTGGTGGACCTGACCTGACCTGACTTGATCTAACCTATCTTAGTCTAGTCTATCTAAACCTAACCTAATTCATGTTAAACACACATATACACAGTCAAAACATCTGTTAACATCTAAGTAAAATACACCTACACATCTATGTATACTGTATGTATGGTACCATGTATACTTAAACTGTATTATGTATACAGTATATGTATAGTTATGGATCAAGTTAATACCTATTGGCCTTTTAAATGAACAGTCTCAGATAAGAGTTCAGTACCCTGCTTACTCATGACAACTGGGTCTCGTGTTTGGAGAGGCTGCCAAACATACAAACCAAACACGCGATAAACAAACAGAGTGGAAGGTGTTTGTTTCCCCCACTAGAGTTCAACAGCCGGGCAAGTTACGATAATAGTTCTGAGGTTAAATTTGTAATATTTCACGAGGGTAAATTGAGTTATTTGATGATTAGACTATTTAGTTTATTTCACCTGAAGATTAATCACTCTGATGTTAACCTAACCTAAGCAACTTAATCTAGTCTATTGGTAACCTAATATAATCTAATATGTGTGTGTGTGTGTGTGTAAGTGCATGTGTGTGTGTGTGTGCGTTTAAGTGCATGTGTGTGTGTGTGTGCTGTTTAAGTGCATGTGTGTGTGTGTGTGCGTTTAAGTGCATGTGTGTGTGTGTGTGTGTGAGGTACAGACATACTCACATCTTCCTCACAACACCACACATGGTCAGATCCGTCACCAACAAGTTATACCGAGGCCAGGCGGTCCGCATGTCCTGTAGTATCTGGCACTTCCGTCACTGTCCGCTGAGCCAGGACATACAGTACATAGTAGGTAGTCAGACATGTCCACACATAGCCAGGGAGACATAGATCAACCAGATGTCCAAACGTGTTCAGGGACATCCAAGTCGACCATACGTGTCCAAAAACAACAGCGAAAAACATGGGAAAAAAAATTAGTTAACACAAACTTAACATAAATAACATATTAAGCAAAAATTACCTTTGTTATTTTACTATGTTATTTATAGATGGAAGTGGTTTATATATTAATAAGATATAAGCACAAAAATAACTCATTATATTGGGATTATGTGAAGATTAGTCACCCCACCAATTGGTTTATTTCACCTGATGGTTAAATTAGGTTAGGTTGGGTTAGGTTAGGTTGGGGTTTGCTAGATTAGCATTAAGTTAGGTTCAAGTTATAGATCAAATTTAATTAGGTTAAATAAGCTAGAGGTTAATTTTTTATGTGATTAAGACCCTACTAGAACTAAGATCTACTAGAGGAACGGGTCTAAGACTCGACCTTGACCCACCTGAACGATCGGCCCGCTTGTCATCCAAGAGTGGATGACTTTAAATCCAACTGGCTTCTTTAGTCTGGCAGATAATCTCTGTAAGTTGCTTCCACCATTACTACCACCATCACCAGCTGTTGTGTGTGCATCACCACCAAAGTCACAGCTGATTTCGCCACTGTTAAGGAGAAATGAGAATGTGGACCAGGTGGCCTTCTCTCTCTCTCTCTCTCTCTCTCAGATATAATGGCATAGTAAATGTAATTAATCCAAATATAATCATTAAATATTATATTACTTACTTATATACACACACACACACACACACCTTGATAGTCCTGTCCAGTAGTCAGCACCATCTGTGGGGAGAAACATGAACTTAGGGTTAGGTTATGGTCAGGTCAGGTCAGGTTAAGTTAGGTTAGGTAATGTCAGGTCGAGTTGTTAGGTTAGGTTTGTAAGTTACTTGTATGAATAAGTCACAAGTCTGTTAAGTAACTTTATTACTTATATGAGCAGTAACTGATTCTTCAACTTATTAACATTTATAAAATTCCATATTTAATACTTTAACAACAGAAATTATTCACACACACTTATTGCCAATGACCTATTGTACTTAAATCACACTTATGTTAACTAAGCACACTTATTTACTTAATAATACTTTATCCTCTGACCAAAACACTTGAGCCACACTTACCCTCACACTTATAACCAGACACTACCACACACTTGTTGGAAAACACTTAAAACATACTTTTATATATTAACACCACCCAAAACACTTAAAACACACACTTACCATCACACTTAGAGTAATAAACACCACACACTTGGTCATCCTTTTCCTTCAAGACACTTACGACGCATGTAAACTACTTATAACAATCCTCTTAAGTGCCTCAAGGACCACAAGTGTTTGAAATCTGGTAATAAATGAAATGATAATGGTGATCTGGTGTGTGGGGGGTGGCAGTGAATGGGTGGGTGATGGTGGTGAATGGGGGTGATGGTAGTGAATGGGGGTGGGTGGCAGTAACCTAAAGGGCGTTTCCTTTAACACAAACTAACCACAGCACGTTATGGGTGGGTGGGCGGTGCAACTCACCAAGCATATACGGTAAGGCAGTAGGGCGCACCTACAAGGGCGGATATTGCTCTATATACCACAAGACATCCGACACTAACCTAGATACTGCAATGTGACTTCCAATGACTAATGTTGCAAGGCAGAATCCATTGAACTTAATATTGCAAGTTGTTATAGACTGAACTTAATGTTGCAAAGGTACCATTACATTTATAGATATTGCAAAGGTACCATTACATTGGGCTATATGTTGCAAAGACAGCATTACATTGAGCTAGATATTACAAAGGTACCAATACAATGAACTATACTGTATATTGCAAAGGTACCATTACATTTAACTAGACATTGCAAAGGTACCATTACATTGAACTAGACATTGCAAAGGTACCATTACATTGAACTAGACATTGCAAAGGTACCATTACATTGAACTAGATATTGCAAAGATAGCATAACACTGAACTAGATATTGCAAAGATAGCATTACATTGAACTAGATATTGCAAAGATACCATTACATTGAACTAGATATTGCAAAGATACCATTACATTGAACTAGATATTGCAAAGGTAATATTTCAATCATTTCAACCCAAATATTACAGTTTTTACCATTACAAAATTACTGTAGCCATTTCAGAGATTTATTTGAGTTTACTGAGTCACACTGATAATTGCATACAAGATCAATTTTATGCAGTTTTTTCACTATATAGGAATATCTGTCTGTCTATCTGCAAGAAATATGGAAAACGGTACAAATTGTTTACTTTAATAATAATAATAATAATATACTGTAATGATGATGATGATGATTATGATGAAACACTTTTTCTCAATAAACTTTCAATTATTTGTTACATTAAAGTTAAAAACAGACACACACACAGTACCACACACCACCACTCTGTCTACTGATCACTGAGTTAACACCAAACTCTAGTCACACTTTATGACTCTCTCTCTCTCTCTCTCTCTCTCTCTCTCACCTGGGTTGGTAGATATGCCACCAGTCTGTTCTAATAGACCCCAGTTCTAATGGGGCCCTAGTTCTAATAGGCCCTAGTTCTAATAGGCCCCGTTCCAACAGACCCCAGTTCTATAGACCCCTGTCCCACAGGCCCTTAGTTCTACAGGCCTGAGTTCTAATAGACCCCAGTTCTAATGGGACCCCAGTCCCACTAGGACCCCAGTTCTAATAGACCCCAGTTCTAATAGGCCCCAGTTCTAATAGACCCCAGTCCTAATAGACCAGTTCTACTAGACCCCAGTTCACAGGCCCCAGTTCTACAGGACCCAGTTCTAATAGACCCCAGTCCCAATAGGCCCTAGTTCTAATAGAACCCAGTTCTAATAGACCCAGTTCTAAATAGACCCTAGTCCCACAGACCCCAGTTCTAATAGACCCCAGTCCTATTAGGCCCTAGTTCTAATAGACCCCAGTTCTAATAGACCCCAGTTCTACAGACCCCAGTCCTAATAGACCCCAGTTCTAATAGACCCCAGTTCCTAACAGACCCCAGTCCCAATAGGGCCCTAGTTCTAATAGACCAGTTCACAGACCCCAGTCCTAATGGACCCCAGTTCCTCACAGACCCCAGTTCTAATAGACCCTTGTAGTTCTAATAGACCCCAGTCCTAATAGGCCCTAGTTCTAATAGACCCCAGTTCTAATAGACCCCAGTTCTAATAGACCCCAGTCCCATTAGGTCCCTAGTTCTAATAGACCCAGTTCTAATAGGACCCCAGTTCTTATAGACCCCAGTTCTAATAGACCCCAGTTCTAATAGACCCCAGTTCTAATAGGGCCCCAGTTCTACTAGACCCCAGTTCTACTAGACCCCAGTTCTAATAGACCCCAGTCCTACTAGACCCCAGTCCCACAACCCCAGTTCTAGAGACCCCAGTTCTATAGACCCCAGTCCCAATAGGCCCCTAGTTCTTGTAGGACCTCAGTTCTAATAGACCCCCAGTCCTAATAGACCCCAGTTCTAATAGACCCCAGTTCTAATAGACCCCAGTTCTAATAGGCCTCAGTTCTAATAGACCCCAGTTCTAATAGACCCGTGTCTCAATAGACCCCAGTCCCACAGACCCCAGTTCTCACAGACCCCAGTCCTACAGACCTGTTCTAATAGACCCCAGTTCTCTAGCAGACCCCAGTTCTAATAGACCCAGTTCTACTAGACCCCAGTTCTAATAGACCCCGGTCCCACTAGACCCCAGTTCTACTAGACCCCAGTTCTAATAGACCCCAGTTCTAATAGACCCCAGTTCTAATAGACCCCAGTTCTAAAGACCCTAGTTCTAATAGACCCCAGTTCTAATAGACCCCAGTTCTAGTACTCCAGTGTTAATAGACCCCAGTTCTAATAGACCCAGTTCTAATAGACCTCCAGTTCTAATAGACCCCAGTTCTAATAGACCCCAGTTCTAATAGACCCCTGTGTTCTAATAGACCCTATGTCCCACTAGACCCCAGTTCTAATAGACCCCAGTTCTAATAGACCCCAGTTCTAATAGACCTGAGTTAGTACAAGTACCACTTAATTTACCAGAGACAGAATCCACCTTAATGGTCGTTAGTGAGGTTAAATTGGCTTTAACCTGTCAAATCCAAGATGACCGATACGCACATACTGCTTTAACCATCATACACACAGTCACACAATACGCACATACTGCTTTAATCATACGCACAGTCACCCAATACACATACTGTTTTAACCATCATACAGTCACAATACGCATACTGCTAACCATCCACACACAGTCTAATACCCATCACCATGCAACCATCATCACACAGTCACCCAATACGCGCAATGCTTTAACCATCATACAGTCACCCAATACGCACATACTGCTTTAACCATCATACACACAGTCACACAACGCATACTGCTTTAACCATCATACGTTGATCATAATACGACATACTGCTTTAACCATCATACACACAGTCACCAATAAACGCACATACTGCTTTAACATCATACACACAGTCACACAATACGCGCACATAATGCTTTAACCATCATACACAGTCACACAATACGCACATACTGCTTTAACCATATATACACACAGTCACACAATACGCACATACTGCTTTAACCATCATACACACAGTCATAATACACACATATTGCTTTAACCATCATACACACAGTCACCTAATACGCACATACTGCTTTAACCATCATACACACACTCACACAATACGCACATACTGGCTTAACCATCATACACACAGTCACACAATACACATACTGCTTTAACCATCATACACACAGTCACACAATACGCACATACTGCTTTAACCATCATACCACAGTCACCTAATACGCACATACTGCTTTTAACCATCATACAGTAGTCACACAATACGCACATACTGCTTTAACCATCATACACACAGTCACACAATACACATACTGTTTTAACCATCTGCCACACAGTCACACAATACCCTTTTAACCTGTTTTAACCATCATACACAGATCACCTAATACGCACATACTGTTTTAACCATCATACACACAGTCACCTAATACGCACATACTGTTTTAACCATCATACACACAGTCACACAATACGCACATACTGCTTTAACCATCTACACACAGTCACACAATACGCACATACTGCTTTAACCATCATACACAGTCACACAATACGCACATACTGCTTTAACCATCATACACACAGTCACACAATACGCAATTGGTTTTGCACATACTGGCTTTAACCATCATACACACAGTCACACAATGCGCACATACTGCTTTAATCATACACACAGTCACTATACGCACATACTGTTTTAACCATCATACACACAGTCACACAATACGCACATGTACTGGCTTTAACCATCATACACACAGTCACCCAATACGCACATAATGCTTTAACCATCATACACACAGTCACAATACGCACATAATGCTTTAACCATCATACACACAGTGCACAATACGCACATAATGCTTTAACCATCATACACACAGTCACTCATACGCACATACTGCTTTAACCATCATACACACAGTCACACAATACGCTCTACTGCTTTAACCATTTACACAGTCACACAATACGCAACACTACTGCTCCTAACTAACCATTAAAATAAATAAATTAAATAAAGTTCCTATTAAATAAACTCATAATAAATGTTTCTAGATAATAAATAAATAATTAACGAAAATAATATTTTATACTATACATAAGTAATGGGTTGTTTTTTTCCTTATTTAACCACTAAAACGGATTATTTAACCTAAAGTCATGACATAAATTAAAGATTACATCAAATTACATCATTAAATACGTCGCTGGTGGTTAAATAAGACTAATATTAAATCAACAAAATTATAAAATACTCACCAAGAAGCCATTGGAATAGAGTAATTTTTTCCCCTTACTCGTCTCTCCGTTATGGCGGCGCTTAATTAGGTCCGTCGCCTCCAGAACGTAATAGGCGCCTAGATTGAGCCCCATGCGTAACGACCGCTAATAACCATAGCCATTGAGACTGTTACAGGTAGTAGGGTGGTTTAATAAAGGTCCTCTTCGACTCTGGGGTCTCTCCTTTGAGGCTCTGACGTCACGGATAATTTACTTTTGACCAATAGGAGGCGAAAATAACGTCATTCCTTAAAGAAATAATAATTCAATATTATTACTTATAACTATTTTAAATTACCTTTGAGCCTCTATTAAACTCTATATAATATTATAAGGTATTAATATAAAAATGATAGAACAATATGTGAGGAAGAGAGGCTTTTAGGAAATTATTTGAAATTGTTTTTAATTATCAATTATGAAATCTATAAAACTGATCAATTTATTCCAATTTGTAATACTTTTAAGATATATAAAAGTTAATTTCTAGACTAATTTCGTGGAAAATACTTCATTAAATACAAAAAAATAGAATTATTATACAGAATAACAATAATAAACTACATAAAATGAATAAATATACCGAACATAACGATTTTAAGATTGATTTTTAATGAACAAATAACAATAATAATACCTAAAAGAATACTATTATAAATTAACCATCATGACGTCACAGCCTCAACCCCCCCAGCCACTATTACAAAATCCAAAAATACAATTATTCTTTCTTGTTACCAATAATAACAGTGTAATGGCTCACGGTCATTAGCACAGGCCATTAAATTACATATCTATTATTACGTTAGGATTTAATGAGTGACTACCTGGCCCTAACACCGCTAACTACCTCCTGTATAATTACTTAACATCAATTAGACGTGTTGGGGACTGATGAGATATGTACGTAATATGTGTGTATGCTATGTGCGTATGTATGTAAAAATGTGTATGAATGTGTGCGTGTGTGTATAAGGTGTGTGTGTGTGCGTGTGTGTGTGTCAGGTATGTACGGTAATTCACATCTGTTAAGTAACTTGAATATATTTTCTAAGTACAGGTTTACTTAAAGACTTCTGAAGTATAAACTACTACTACTATTATTACTACTACAACGACTACTACTACTATCATAACTACGACTACTACTACTACCATTACTACCACCACAACTACCACCTTAACTACCACCACAACTACCACCATTACTACTAGCAATGACAAAAAACAAAACATTAATATATTATACATTTTATTACCACTAGTAAAATATTAATACTATTTATTAATTTATACAACTCAGGTTTAACACTACAGTACATAACGGCAACGTGTGTGTGGGCGTGTCTCTGAAAACACCCTTGGCCCCGCCCATTTTGATAGATCCACCATTTTATTAGCTCGCCCATTTTATTTATAGCTCCGCCCATTTTTTTTTAGCTCCTCCCATTTTTTCATAGCTCCGCCCATTTTTTCTGCTCCTCCCATTCTAACGTAACTCCCCCACTCCGTTAACAATGGGTAACAAATTTGATTGGGTGAGGTGAGATGTGTCAATCAAGTGATTTGATTGGCTGTTGATTTAGTGGGCGGGGCCTCAATGGATCCTCAATGGCCTCCAAAAGTGGGATCGGCCTCCAGTGTTCATGGTCGGCCTCCAAAAATTTGGTCGGCCTCCAAGTGTTATGGTCGGCCCTCAAGTGTTCATGGTCGGCCTCAAGTATTCATGGTCGGCCCTACAGAGTTACTGGTCGGCCTCCAAGGTACGGTCGGCCTCCAGAGATAGTGGTCGGCCTCAAGGGCTGGTCGGCCTCCAAATGTTCATGGTCGGCCTCCAAGTGTTCATGGTCGGCCTCCAAATGTTCATGGTCGGCCTCCAAGTGTTCATGGTCGGCCTCCAAATGTTCATGGTCGGCCTCCAAGAGATAGAGGTCGGCCTCCAACAACCTCAAAATATAACAAAACAAGAACTTAAATTACTATCCCTCAACCATAAAGTGTATAAGGCACTTAAATAACTCAAGACACTTGCATGATTCCTAAGGCACTTAAATAACCCTTAAGACACTTGTGATTCCTAAGGCACTTAAATAACCCTTAAGACACTTACATGATTCCTAAGGCACTTAAATAACCCTTAAGACACTTACGTGATTCCTAAGGCACTTAAATAACTCTTAAGACACTTACATATACATTAAGTCACTTATATGCTACTTAAACAAAACATCAACATCGCTGAAGTTACTTAAATAAACCCTACAAACAACAGTTAAGTAAGACACTTATATTGAGGCACTTATTTAAAGCACTTTGGGGGGCCTCACTTATATGAAGCACTTACAAAAAGGCACTTATTTAAAGCACTTTGAGGGGGCCTCACTTATATGAAGCACTTACAAAAAGGCACTTATTTGAGGCACTTATAACTCAACACTTATAAGTATCACCTTAAGTATTTCCAGAGTGAACTGTAGTAAACTTATTGTCAACACACTTGTTTATATCACATAAGTTAAGCTCTCTGGTGGCCCCATAAGTTAAGCTCTCTGAGTGGCCCAATAAGTTAAGCTCTCTGAGTGGCCCAATAAGTTAAGCTCTCTGAGTGGCCCACCCAGGAAGTAAACAAACTCTTTATCAACCTGTGTCCCAGCAGAGCCTAATATGTAAACATAGGCCTTATAGACGTGAAGCCTGTGGCCGTGAGCCTTATAGGGCCGTGAGCCTTGTCGTGAGCCTTGTAGCCGTGAGCCGTGAGCCTTGTAGCCGTGAGCCTTGGAGCCGTGAGCCTTGTAGCCGTGAGCCTTGTAGCCGTGAGCCCTTGTAGCCGTGAGCCTTATAGCCGTGAGCCTTGTAGCCGTGAGCCGTGAGCCTTGTAGCGTGAGCCTTGGCCGTGAGCCTTGTAGCCGTGAGCCTTATAGCCGTGAGACCTTTGTAGCCTTAGACCTTATAGACGTGAGCCTTGGCCGTGAGCCTTATAGCTGTGAGCCTTATAGCCGTGAGCCTTGTAGCCGTGAGCCTTATAGCCGTGAGACCTTGTAGCTGTGAGCCCCTTATAGCCGTGAGCCCTTATAGCCGTGGAGCCTTGTAGCCGTGAGGAGCCTTGTGTGAGCCTTAGCCGTGAGCCTTGTAGCCGTGAGCCTTGTAGCCGCCAGTAGCCGTGAGCCTTAGCTGTGAGCCTTATAGCTGTGAGCTTTATAGACGTGAGCCTTGTAGCCGTGAGCCTTGTAGCCGTGAGCCTTGTAGCGTGAGCCTTGTAGCCTTGTAGCCGTGAGCCTTGTAGCCTTGGTAGCCTTGTGGCCGTGAGCCTTATAGACGTGAGCCTTGTAGCCGTGAGCCTTATGTGTAGCTGTGAGCCTTGTAGCCGTGAGCCTTATAGCTGTGAGCCTTGTAGCCCTTTTGAAGCCGTGAGTCTTGTAGCCGTGAGCCTTGTAGGCGTGAGCCTTGTAGCCGTGAGCCTTGTGTGCATGTAGCCTTATAGCCGTGAGTCCCTTATAGACGTGAGCCTTGTGGCCTGAGAACCTTGTAGCCTTGTAGCCGTGAGCCTTAATGCATCAAGAGCCTTATGTACTTGTAGCCGTGAGCCTTGTAGCCGTGAGCGCCTTGTAGCCGTGAGCCTTGTAGCACGTGAGCGCCTTTTGGCAACGTGAGCCTTGTAGAGCCGTGAGACCTTGTAGCCGTGAGCCTTGTAGCCGTGAGCCTTGTAGCCGTGAGCCTTGTAGCCGTGAGCCATGCTTAGCCGTGAGCCTTGTAGCCGTGAGCCTCATCTACAAGGTGAGTTTCAGTAGTCAGTCTTTAGGTAACGCTGAGTCACTCTTTCCCCTGACGTAGATCCTCGCATGCCTTGGTCCCCTAAGACTCTGTCAGTAATGAGATTTTGTTCCTCTTCCTGGCGTTTTGAACTTCCTTGTGAACACCTCGTGGAAGGCCGTGGCCACCTGGAGGACGTGTTCTGGCGGCCACCCTCGCTGAAGTAGCACTCCAGGTCCTTGGCCAGTATCTCACACCTGTGTGGAGGAGGTGGTAATAGAGAGAGAGAGAGAGAATGAGAGAGAGAGAGAGAGAGAGCCACTTGTTCATATTCCCTCCCTGATGGTGGTGTTGTTAGACCATTATAATGACCCCCTACACAACTATGACCCTTAAGGATCCACTAAGTAGTTTACTCTAAGTCTAAATTCGCTCCTAATGGATTATGTCATTTTTATAGCATTTTATTGGCCCCAGGCTTGTTGGCCCGTGTCTTAATTATGGTGTTCGGGTCTCTCTCTCTCTCTCTTTTTTTTTCTCTTCCATTAAAGAAACATTGTCAACACAAACACCAAGGCTTTGGGAGGAAGGAGGGAGGGAAGGAGGAAGGAGGGAGGAAGGAGGAGGGAAGGAGGTATTTGAGTGGCTAGTGACGTCACGTGATGGAGATGCTTAAAATAGTTGACTCTTTCTCCCTCTCTCCTTCCTCCTCCTCCTCCCTCTCCCTCCCTCCACTACCCCTCCCTCCCCTCCCTCCCTACCCCTCCCTCCCCTCCTCCTACCCCCTCCCTCCTCCCTCCCTCCACTACCTCCTCCACTGAGGTAGTCATCGAATAAGGAGTATGAATTAGTAAAATACTACCTGACATCACCTGACACTAGAGACATCACCTGACACTAGATACATCACCTGACATCACGTGTTTTGTGTGATAACGTTTTCTCTGTAAGGTCACCACAGGTCAGGTCAGGTCAGGTATTGATGCTCACCTTCGTCAGTAGACACCTGCCTCCAGGTGGACCATGTCAGCTTTATTAGCCAAGAGAACCATGGGTGGGCCGAGGCTGGGTGATACATCCCCACCCACGGTCATGGGCGGCGTGGGCGTGAGGGTGGCCGCCCCTCCTAGTCCTCCTCGCCCACTGGCCTTCCTCTCGCTGATGTGAGTCGCATTTTCTTGACCCAGTTGAAGCTTTGTCTGTCAGTAATAGAGTACACCAGCAGGAAGCCGTCAGGCCCACCTGATGGTGTCTGACGAAGAGGCTTCACTGTTCTGTCAGGATGAGTGAGTGAGTGTGAGAACATATGATGAACTAACACACACACACACACACACACACACACACACAGACACAGACACACACACACACACACACACACACACACGACAGCAGACACACACACACACACACACACACACACACACACACACACACACACACACACACACACACACACACACACACACACACACCACACAGAGGCACACACACACACACACACACACACACACACACACACACACACACAAACACAGGCACACACACACACACACACACACACACACACACACACACACACACAACAGAGGCACACACACACACACACACACACACACACACACACACACACACACACACACACACACACACACACACCCAGGATAGAGTGCCAGAGGTCATTAGGTCAGCCTCACCTGACCTTGGCACCTCATCTGTGCTAATGATCCTCACACTACACACACCTGCACCTGGTAAGACTATATATATACCAACACACACACACACACACACACACACACACACACACACACACACACACACACACACACACCCAGGATAGAGTGCCAGAGGTCATTGGGTCAGCCTCCTGACCTTGGCACCTCATCTGTGCTGATGATCCCTCACACTACACACCACCTGGTAAAGACAATCTATATTCACACACACACACACACACACACACACACACACACACACACACACACACACACACACACACACACACACACACCCAGGATAGAGTG